TCCTTTTCACTTGTTAAAACTATACTGTCTTAGCACGTTTGTGTAGCTCTTCACCTCTGGGCAGTTTGGACTGTTATCAATTTTTCAGAACCATAAATAGTAGTACCATGTGCATCTTTGTACATTACTTTTTTATTTGGATAATTTCCTTTCAGTGAATTCACCCAAAGCAGAATACCAAGTTTTGTAGGTCTTTTAGGTCTTGCTACAAGTTTTGTAGTTTTGTAGGTCTTGCTACAAAAAGTCAGACCGTGATTTAGACGCTTAATCAACTTGTAGTACCACCAAGTAGGTGTAAATGTATATTTTCCCATAACCCTATCAGCTTCGATTTTTGCCAATTTAATGAACTTAATTGTTAAGTTTCTGGAAGACAAAATATGTTCTCTGACAAACATATGTAGAGGCAATGATTAAAAAAGAAAAGTATACCTGGTTTCTTGTCATTTATATGAACAAAAATCTGAAGCTTTTAAGTGGACTACAAGAAAATCCCCTCCTTCTCTATCTTTCCTTCACCCAGTCAGCTCCTGGTCCCAAGGCCTAGGTCTTTTGTCTTTTTCCTCAGTGATTCTAGTCAGTGATTCTCTTATAAGTTTCACATTAGCCTCATCTGGGGAGCTTTTAAAAAAATACTCATACCTGGGCTCCACAGGGATTGAGATTTATTTGCTTTGGAATGCATCCTGGTCATCTGTATTTCCATAAAAATATTCCCAAGTGGCACCGATGTGTAGTGAGGGTTTCCAGCTAATGCTCACCGCAGTTACTGCTCAATAAATGCTTGTTGAGTGACTTCATGATTGAATGTGACCTAACTGAGTAACTGTACCTTTGTGCCAGGCAACTGGTGAGGATGAACAGGACCTTTTATTCTAGATGAGCAAGTGGCATTAGCCAGCAGGGACACAATGCTCCTACCCCTCTCCGTCATCTGAGACAGATTTCTGAAGAGTTGTATTCCTTTTTTATTGAGATGTAATTCACACAACATAAAATCCATCCTTTTAGAATGTGAAGTTCTGTGGTTTTTAGTAATACTCACAAAGTTATACAATCACTATCACTATTAAATTTCAGGATGGTTCCATCACCCTTAGAAGAAGTCTGGCTCCCATGAGCTATAACTTCTCATTCTGCCCTCACCCCAGCCCCTGGCAGCCACTCATCAACTTACTGTCTTTATAGATATGCCTAGAACATTTTTTTAAAAAAATATCTTATTTATTTACTCATGAGAGACACAGAGAGAGGGGCAGAGACATAGGCAGAGGGAGAAGCAGGCTCCCTGAAAGGAGCCTGATGCGGGACTCAATCCCTGGACCCTGGGATCACGCCCTGAGCCAAAGGCAGATGCAACTGCTGAGCCACCCCGATGTCCCTGCGTAGGACATTTCATATAAGTGGAACCATGGCCTTTTGTGTCTGGCTTCTTTCACTGAGCATCATGTTTTCAAGGTTCAGCAATGTTGCAGCAAATATTAGTACTTCATTTATTTTTATGGCTGAATAATAGTCCACTACATGGATATACTGCTTGGTTTATCCATCCATCAGCTAATGGACATTTGGGTGGTTCCCAGTTGGGAGCTATTCATGCTGTTATGAGCATTCATGTGTCAGGTTTTGTATAAACATATGCTTTCAGTTTTCTTGGGCATATATCTAGGAATAGAATTGTTGGGTCATATGATAACTCTCTGCTTAACCTTTTGAGGAACTGCCAAACTGGTTTTCAGTGTCTGCACCATTTTAAAATCCCATCGTAATGTGTGAAGGTTCCAATTTCTCTATATCCTAATACTTGTTATGATTTTTTTTTATTATAGTCACGCTAGTGGGTGTGTGACGTGGTAGCTCATGTGGTCTTGATTCTGATTTTCATTTTCCTGATGACTACTAATGTTAAGCATCTTTTTGTGGGCTTATTGGCTGTTTGTATATCTTCTTTGGAGAAATATCTATTCAAATTCTTTGCCCGTTTTAAAATTGGGTTGTCCTTTGCTGTTATGAGCTATTAATATTCTAATATTCTTGATGTTAGACCCTTATTGGACATGTGACCTGCAAATATTGCTTCTTATTTTGTGGATTGTCTTCTTGCCTTTTTGATAGTGTCCTTGGACATGTAAAAGTTTTAAATTTTGCAGTTCAATTAATCTATTCTTTCCTTTGGTTGTTAGTGTGTTTGGCGTCATGTCTAAGAAACCTTTGCCTAATCCAGAGTCATGATGATTTACATCTGCTCTCTTTCAAGAGGTTTAATAGTTTGAGTTCTTATATTTAGGTCTTTGATCTATTTGGAGTTAATTTTTATATAAAGTGTGACTTGGGAGTCCAACTTTATTCTTTTGTGGTTCTTCAGTCTTTCTTGCACAATTTGTTGAAAAAAATTGCTCTTTTCCAAATGACTTGTCTTGGCACTTTTGTTGAAAATCAGTTGACATAGATGTATGGATTTACTTTTGTATTCTTTTTTTTTTTTAAATTTTTATTTATTTATGATAGTCACAGAGAGAGAGAGAGAGAGAGGCGCAGAGACATAGAGGGAGAAGCAGGCTCCATGCACCGGGAGCCCGATGTGGGATTCGATCCTGGGTCTCCAGGATCGCGCCCTGGGCCAAAGGCAGGCGCCAAACCGCTGCGCCACCTAGGGATCCCTACTTTTGTATTCTTAATTCTATTCCATTGATTTATATATCTATCTTTATCCCAGTACCACACAGTCTTGATTACTGTGGCTCTGTAGTCTGTTTTGAAATTGGGAAGTTTAATTCTTCCAACTTTTTTTTCCCCTACAATATTGCTTTAGCTATTCCGGGTTCCATCCATTTCCTTATTAGTTCTAGGATCAGTTTGTGAATTTCTGCAAAAGGACAGCTAAAAATTTTATGGGGATCGTGTTGAACTTGTATATCAATTTGGGGAGAGATTGTCATCTTAACAAGAGAAGTCTTCCAACCGATGAACAAGGATGACTTTCCCTTTATTTAGGTCTTGAATTTCTTTCAGTGATGTTTTGTAGTGTTCAGTATATAAGTCTTGCACGTTAAATTTATGCCTAAGTATTTTATTCTTTTTATGATCTTATAAATTATTTTTAAAAACTTATAATTACTAAGAAATTATTTTCTTAAAAAAGAAATTTTTCTTACATTTTTGTATATTAAATTCTAGCGTAAGAAATACAAATGCTTTTTGTATATTAATCTTGCAACCTTACTGAACTTGTTTATTAGCTTTAATAGGTGTGTGTGTGTGTGTGTGTGTGTGTGTGTGTGTGTGTGTATTCTCTGGGGTTTTCTATATATAAGATCATGTCATTTGTGAATAAAGATTAAGATAGTGTTACTTCTTTCTTTCCAGCCTGGCTAGAACCTCCACAGCGGTGTTGAATAGAAGGGGTGAGGGCAGACATCCTTGTCTTATTTCTGATCATAGGGGAAACATTTAGCCTTTCATCGTTAAGTATGATATTAGTTGTGGGTTTTTCAAAGATACTCTATTAGGTGAGGAAGCTCCCTCTTATTCCAAGTTTGTTGATGAAGGGGTGATGGATTTTATCAAACGGTTTTTCTGTGGCTATTGGCTTGATCATCTGTGGGATTTTTTCCCTTTCGAACGGCTTTTTTTTTTTAAGATTTTATTTATTCATGAGAGACATACAGAGAGAGGCAGAGACATAGGCAGAAGGAGAAGCAGGTTCCCTGTGGGGAGCCTGATGCAGGATTCCATCCTAGGACCCCCCCCTTCCCCTCTTTCTGAACAGTTTTAAGAGCCTCCTGCCAGTAGTTAAGTCTGACTCCAGTCTTAACCTAGTACTCAAAATAGATGGGAGGGGAGGTGTCTCATTTGTTTTTGTTTTTTCTTTTTTGGCTAATCTGACTGCAATACTATTATTAAAATTATTCATTTGTAAATGGGTAATATTTCCTTATGATACAAAGGTCAATGTGACCAGCAAACCTCTCCCTATCCAGGCCCCCTGGTCTCCTTCCCCTTAGGCAACCACCATCCTCATTTCCTGGGAGACTGTGTATAGCTGCTTTCCCCGCTACACGGGCAGAGGTGAATAGTTTGCCCTGGAGACCGTATAGCCTGCTTATCCTAAGATATTTTTCTATCTGACCCTTTATTTTTTTTATTTTTATTTTTTTATTTATTTATGACAGTCACACAGATAGAGAGAGAGGCAGAGACACAGGCAGAGGGAGAAGCAGGCTCCATGCACCGGGAGCCCGACGTGGGACTCGATCCCGTGTCTCCAGGATCGCGCCCTGGGCCAAAGGCAGGCGCTAAACCGCTGCGCCACCCAGGGATCCCCTATCTGACCCTTTATAGAAAAAGTTTGCCAATTCCCTTTTTAGTTTATCATTTCAAAGATATGTTATGACATGCTAGGACATCTCTGTATGTATGTCATTTTACACAGTGAATTTGGACGGCAGGAATCCTGTGAGCGGGATTGCTAGGTCTTAGGGCCTCGGCATTGGTCACTTGGATAGGTGTCACCAAGTAGCTCTCTCTAGAAAGCGAACCAATTTATACTCCCCCCAACAATGGCATGCTCTGGCCTGCTCCCCACAGCCTCCCATTAACAAGTGCGCTAATAATTCGACAGTTGCCAACCTGATAGGTGAAACCCGGCCCTCGCTGTACTTGTAATTTGCGTTTTTCCCCTGACGGCTGAGGGCGAAGCATCTTTCCTGAAGTGTGAAAAACAACAACAACAAAAAAAAAAACAAACCCGAAACACCAAGCAGCTCCCCGCGAGCCCAAGCCGGTCGGGTCGGCTCAGGACCGGGCGCCTGGCCCCCAGCACCCCGCAGGCCGAGGGGCGTGGCCCGGGGCGGGCGGCCGGCGGCGCGGACCCCCGGGCGCCCCCCTTCCCCCGCGGGCCGCGGAGCCCCGCCCCGGGGCCGCCTCCCGAGGGCCGGGGCGGAGCGCGCGGGCGGGGGGCGGTGCCGCGCTGCCTGATTTATCCCGGTGCAGGAGCCGGAGGGAGAGCCCCGCGCGCACGGCCCGAGCGCCCGCTCCCGCGCCCGCGCCCGCGCCCGCGCCCGCTCCGCACGGCATGCTCGGCCCCCGCCCGCTGGCCGCGCTCTGCGGCGCGCTGCTCTGCGCCTCGGGACTCCTCGCCGCCTCGGGTGAGTCGATCGCGCCGCCCCGCGGCCCTCGCCCCTCCTCCGCGCGCCGCTCGGAAGTTCGCCGCCGCGCCTCCCTCCTCTCCACTGTTTACCCACCGGAGCCGAGAGCCGCGCGGTGCGGAGGGGCCGCTTCTCCCGCCGCCCCCCGGACGGGCGCGGGGATGCGCTCGGCCCCTCCCGCGCTCCCTGCGCCCGGGCGGCCCGGCCAGCGCTGGAGGCGGGGACTCGGGCGGCGGGTGACAGCCCCGCGGCCCCCCGGGAGGCGGCTTGCACTTAACAAAGGAATCTGCTGTGTCGGGCCTCTCTTTTCCCATCTGTAAAATGAGGCTGTGCCCGCCTCTCGCGCGTCTTCCGCCTGGAAGTTTCTAAGGACTCTTGTACTGAGAAGTCCCGTCCGGCCAGCTTTCTCCGGCAGCTCTCCCCAGCTCTGGCGGCTGCTGTGCTCATTCTGAGTTTTGCATCCCCGAGTGTAGGTGCCTGCGGGGATAAGCCAGGGCCGGGGTGGCGGAGGAAGGGACGGCCTCTAGATGGGTTCCAGGAGGCGGACCCCGCGCCTGTGGAGGGACTTGGAGAGGGCTGCCCCCTTGGGCTGCTGGCTTCCGCCCCCCGCGGCCTTGGCGAGCTGCTGTATCTTCCTCGCTCCTCCTCCCCCGCCTAGGAGGCCTCCCGCGCACAGCTGGGCCTCCGGCAGGCCGGTCCCAGGGATGCCCACGCGGTTGCCTCCAGGGCTGGGAAGAGGTGCCCGTGGTTGGTGCACTGCAGGCACCCCCTTTATCGCTTTCTCAAAGAAAGCGGGGTGTGTGTGTGGAGGGGGGGGTCAAGGTGAGCCCTGGTGCTGCCCTCCTGTGACAGTGTCACCCCCAGGCCTGGTGCCAGACCTTAGCACCTCCAAGCTCCCGCACCCTTGGGGACTCCCGGCAGGTGACTGTCCAGCGACCCAGAGAGGCAGCTGGGTCTCCGAAGTCCCTTTCCACTCCTCTCTGTCCCCACAACCTGTTCCTGGGGAAATGTCCCAAAAGGCAGGACACTGAGGCCCTGAAGGTGGTTTTGTAGAAGGAGATCTGGCTTTTCCAGGAAAGGGGAAGCACCATGGCTGCAGGGCACAGGTGAGTCAGCCTGAGACCTGTGGGGTGGGGGCTACCTTTCACTGTCCTTTTTCCCCAGTGGACTGCTTAGCCCTAGAGCAGAATGGAGAGAGGGTTGCGGTTGGTTGGGGATAAGAGGAGTTGGATTTTGTTGGGACGGGATCCCAGGACTTTGGCCATTCCCAAGAGTCTGTCTGTGCCCACAGTCTGCCAGGTCAGGGGAGGGGATTAACCTGCTATTTAAAGCCAATGACTAATAGCTCATTGGGAGCCGTCTTAAGCTCCCAGGCGTGGCCCAGGCGGAGCTCTGAGGGCTCCAGCGCTCATTAACGGTGTTCCCTGCTCCCTCTGTCTCCTCCCGAATTGGGCCCGGCACTCTGGGGCTTTGGGATTTCAGGAGCTGCTTCCCCTATCCCCACCTCCAGCCTGGGATGACATGACTCTGTGCAGGGGAGGAAAAGCAATTTCTTGTGTCTTACCCCAAATGATGGGCTAAGCCCTTCTGAGGTTCTGAGGTCAATTAGCAGAAGCCCCTCCCGCCTGGGGGACTTGGTGTGCTACACTCAGGGCTCACAGCTGTCACCCAGGGTTGCAGCTTGAAGCAGTGTGGTCTTCTGCGGCCCTCCTCTGACCTCTGCAGTGCTTCACAAGTCTGCTTTCCTCCTCACCGCTTCACCTGACTTTCCTCTCTCACCAGGAGACCCGTGGCAGCTTCTCAGTGCCCCACTCCTGTCCCATCCCTCCTGGGCTCTGGAAGGTTCTTCGCTGTAGCCCCGGGACACCTCCCTGCCCCAGGGGAGCCCATCCACATCTCTGCAGATGGCCTTTTCTCCATATTCTCCATCCTGGAACGGGAAATGCCTTCCCCACTCCTACCACACAATTGACAATCTCTGATTTTTTTTTTCCCCTGGTGGACATTGGTGGGCAGCTGAAGGAAGGTTAAGAGCTCCTGGTTTACAGGGCAGAAAGTCTGAGCTCGTCGTCATTCCTTCCTAAGGTCCCTGCAGGTCTGGCCCCTACCTACCTTTTCCTCTGTTTTCCTGTTCGTCAGCTTGCCAAGCCCCTGAGCTCTTGCTTTTCTGTAGAACATTCTTTCCCTGCTCCCTATTCTGGCACAGTCCATCTCTTAGACCTAGCTCACATGTCCCTTCCTCGAAACTTCCAACTGTGGTGCGAACCATACCTCCAGTGGGCCTTCGTGTGTAGGCTTCTGGCAGAGCTCGGGATACCTCTTCATCATCCAGGGACTGTCCCGCTTTTTCCAATGGCTTTTTAGGCTTGGACCATACCTGGTTTCCCCAGCTCAGTGACCCAGCATGCACATGGTAGCGTCTCTCCCGGCCCCCAGTCTTTACTGAATGAATGATTTGCTATTCTTGAGTCGGAGCTGGTGACATTGCAGGTGACTTCTGTGACTCTAGCCAGTGCCTGAATGGTGGGACCTGCTTGTTGGGCCAGGACAACACTCCCTTCTACTGCCTCTGCCCCCAAGGCTTCACAGGCCTGATCTGCAATGAGACTGAGAAAGGTATGTGTCCTGGGCCCTGCCTCCTGCCCCATGACGACGGGCTCACACCTGCAGCCCTAGTCCCCGGCACTTCTCCCACGGTCAGCCAGCATTTCCCTGGAAACTCCCCGTGCTGCTTGGAAAGCCGGGTGCTTCCCTCCTGGGGACTGATTTCACCTCCACATGACCCTCCGTGGTGCCAGGCTGGCCCAGGCTCCCCGCAGGCAGAGGAGAGAGGGAGGAGATGGTGGGGGGAGGTGGGCCCTGGGCTGAGTTTGCGCAGAGGGTCCCCTTGGGCATCTGCTGCTGCCTGGCTCTGGCCCCAGCTCCTCCCTGATCCCTGGCCCCCCTCACCTGCCTCTCCATCCCTAGGCCCTTGTTTTCCGAACCCCTGCCACAATGATGCCGAATGCCAGGTGATCGATGACGTGCACAGAGGGGACGTCTTCACCCAGTATGTCTGCCAGTGTCCTCATGGCTACACAGGCACTCACTGTGAGATCAGTGAGTATCCGGGGGCGCCTGCTCTTCTCAGGGAGGTCCTGAGTAGCCCAGGCAACGGGCTGGCCTCCTTCTCTGCAGCAGGGGCTAGTCAATTGAGGCTAAGACAGAGCCTCAGTTAGTGCTGCTGTCCTGGATTAATTCCTGCTTGGCCTCTGTCCTCAGACAATGGGCCAGGCCTGATGTCGCAGCAGGGAGGCGAAGGGTGGTAGTGACCCCAGAGGTCATGGGAGTATTGCCGCCTGGGTCACCATGAACCAGACACACAGCATCAGGGTTAAGTCTCGAGAGTTTTCTACCAAGAGGGAAAAACAAACACATTCTTAATCTTAGGGCTCAGGAGGTCCATAGTTTAGGCCTGGGACTTGGAGTCTACAGTTCCTGGTCCAGGCTATGGCCTCATCGCAGAGCTCAGGGAGGAGGGAGAGGCCTGGGCAGGCTGGGCCGTCCCCTCATGGTCAGGCGGTCAGAGGCCCGGCGTGTGCAGAGGGGCTGACCCACCTGCCCTGCTTGGTGATCCACTCAGCCACAGAATGGCCCTGGGTGGGTGCCCAGCCTCGGGTGCTGGCGGTGGCTGTCCACACTGTCCTCCCTTTGGGCCTAGCTGGAGCCTCTCCCACCAAACCAGGACTCCTCCCCGCCTGCTGCAGGAGGGTGAGTCCACATTTTGAAGGGTATCCAGTTTCTTGCGTCTAGTGGGTCTGACACTGAGCATCTTGTTGGGGGCGCAGGTGGGTTCCCCTTTAGGCAGCTGTGAGGATGCTGTCTGTGAGGTCTGCTGATCTGCAGAAGGAGGGGTGCTGGGTGGGTGCTGGAGTCCAGGGGAGGGCAGGCAGGGGGCCTCTGATGGCCTTCACCTCAGAGGAGGTGGCCCCGAGGGCCTGTCCCCTGGGCTCTGGGCTGAGGCCAATGTCGTTTGCGATCCTGGGTGGAGGAATGTGTGTGTGTGTCTGTAGTTGGGGGGTCTCTAAGGCAGACAGCCCTGGGTGGGGCCAGGTGTGCCCACTAATTACCATGCTGGGAGCCAAGGTAACCATGGGTATGCCAGAGTTGGGATTTGCCACCTTGCCTCCTGCTTGACGGCCTGGGGTTTGTCCCGGGTTGGATATGGCAGCTCCTGGGACAGGAGGCAGGAGGCAGCCACAAAGGCGGGGAGCCCCAGAGGGACCTCTGCAGCCCCTCCTTGTTAGGTGGTGTGTTTCCTTGGAGCCCACAAGGACCCCACAGACCCAAAGGGTATGGACCTGTGAGGCATGAGGACCTGATTGCAAATCCCGGCTGAGCCCCTGCCAGTTCTGATCTTGGCTGCGTGGCTACACTCTCCCTGTGAGTGTCCTATCCTGGAGCTCAGCATGAACCTGGGCTGTTACAGCAGGAGTAGATCTGCCTCTGGCTTCTCTGCTGGGGGGGTCTCTGGGGCATGAGAGGGGCCCAGCCCCCTAGGGCCACATCCCTGGGATAATGGTGAAGGGGACAGCCCCCTTGGCCAGGGGCAGCCCTGCAGATGGCTGGGTTAGGACCAACAGTTGGAAGGGGCAAACAGTCCGAGTGAAAACAGAATGGCATTCATACCACACCCAGAAAAATCCTGCCAGTGGGATTGTAGAAAAGTCTAGGCAAATTTTCTTTTTTCTTTTTTCTTTAAGATTTTATTTATCTGAGAGAAAGAGCAAGAGAGCAACAGAGCTCCAGCTAAAGTAGGGGGGAGGAGCAGAGGGAGAGGGATAAACAGAAGCAGACTTTCCACTTAGCAGGGAGCCTGCCCTGGGGCTTGGTCCTAGAACTCCAGGATCATGACCTGAGCCGAAGGCAGATGCTTCACTGACTGAGCCTTCTAGGCACCCCATGACTGTCCGCCCCTCTCTTCCTCACCATGCACCTTATCTTGGGCCCTGAGAGTCCTTTCGTGGTCTCTGCTCTGGGTTTTCGGCAGAGGCCACACTGTTATTTTATGGTCCTCTGGGGGCCACCTGACGGCCCCTTCTCCCTTTTCCCCTCCCCTCTGCAGCCTGTGCCATGCCGCTGGGCATGGAGACGGGCTCCATTGCCGACTCGCAGATCTCTGCCTCTTCTGTGTACTTGGGCTTCATGGGTTTACAGCGCTGGGCCCCAGAGCTGGCTCGTCTGCACCGCACAGGCATTGTCAATGCTTGGACAGCCAGCAACTATGATAAGAACCCCTGGATCCAGGTATGGAAGGAATGGCTCTGGGATGGGCAGAGTGATGGGAGGGGGGCAAGGTAAGGCCACTCTGCCTGCCCGTGGGGGTTCATCACTGAGGTCCAGGTAGCAGGGTGGGTGGGTTCCCACAGGTGAGGGACCTGTAAGTGGAGGGCAGGCTTGCAGGAGGAAGGCCTTGGGGTGGGTGGGGGAGGGGGAGGGGATCCCAGGCTGTGGAGGGGTTGTTTGCACTGGACGAAGCCTCTGGGGTCCTTGTCCCACTTTTTGTGCCTGCCTGAGCACTAGGCCCAAACCTCTGAGACACCCTGATGAGAAATACCCCCTTCTCTGTCCTACTTGGGTCATTCCCTTTCTGGGTGAGGGGTAGGGTGGAGGGAGTATAAGAACCCAGGGGATAAGGGTACTGCCCTCCCTGTCTGTGGTTTAGGTAAACCTGATGCGGAAGATGCGGGTGACAGGTGTGATGACACAGGGCGCCAGCCGTGCAGGCAGTGCTGAGTACCTGAAGACTTTCAAGGTGGCCTATAGCGTCAATGGACGCAAGTTCCAGTTTGTCCAGAATGCAGAGGGGACAGGAGACAAGGTGAGGACTCTAAAGAGGGACTGGGGCTACACCCTCTGGGGCCCCAGTAAGGGCTCCCGATGGAGTGAGGGTATGCTGAATGATGAACCATGTGGTAGGTTGTCAGTTGCCTCTTGGATCCCACAAATAGGGAATCCCACATTATGCCCATGTTCTGTGGTTATGAGTGATATCTCCTACTTTATAGAGGAGAATAGTGAGACTCAGAAGGTTCAGTGACCTGTTGAGGGTGGCTGTAGTGCTGGAGGTGGGATCCATTCTGAGCCTTCAGGGCTACCATGTACAGTTGTGCAGGTTATATACTGCTCACGTATGTCATTACTAAGCAAGTGTTGTTCACAATGGCAGGCATCATGGGTTTGTGTACTTCTGTCATTTGGGAAATTATTGTAATAAAATGTCTTGAGAAAGGAGTGAAAATTTTCCTAATTTGCAGAGGGCACCCTATAGATGATAGGTGGTCCTCTGTGGAAGACAGGGGTTTATTATGCCTAGGCCCCATGATGACCAAGAAAGGTGTGAGAAGGGGAATCTGTGTTGAGGGGTGTGAGTGGCCAGAGGAAGAACTGACCCCCTGCTGGCCTGGCTGAGCCCTGCCTCTGCTTCTCAGGCCTGAAGAGGGAGGTGAAGCCACCCCAGAAAGGTGGACTGTCCACACCAACCCATTCCTCCAATCTGCTTTCCTCCTAGATGTTTGTTGGTAACATGGACAACAATAGTCTGAAGGTCAACCTGTTTGACTTCCCTCTGGAAGTGCAGTATGTGAGACTGGTGCCCATCATCTGCCACCGGGGCTGTACCCTCCGCTTTGAGCTCCTTGGCTGTGAGTTGAATGGTGAGTACGGGGCTGGGGGCTGTGGTCAATGCTACATAATGGGCTTCCCTGCCCTCGTTTGTCTGAGCTGGGTAGGACAGGAGCAAGGCGGGGGCGGGGGGGGGGAGCTGGGCTCACCCTGGAGATACACAGTGTGGAGGGATCACCTGGCTCTCAGCATGCTCCCCTCTGTGTTTGCTGCCTGCCAACTGTTGGCATTCGAGGTGGTGAGAGGAGGAAAAAAAAGAAAAACACATCTCTTCATCTTCCAAAGAATTTTCTTTTATTCTGATTGGTTCCTTGAGCTTCTAGAACTTGTAGCATTCTGGTTTGCAGATGTCAGCTCCCTGAGGGCAGGGAGTTTGTTTTGTTCACGGCTATAGTCCCCCAGTACCTAGAACAGTGCCTGGACTGTAGATGTTCAATAAACATTTAATGAACGAGTGAACGAATACAGAACGTGAGGCCCTGATAAAAAATTTATCAAGGGCACACAGGCTGGTAGGTATTAAAACTTGATCCCTGGGCTTTTGACACCCACCCACCTACTACTTCCCCTCCACCCTCCTGTACCTCCTGTAACTCATCATTCAAGAGAAATGTGGGGACTTCCTAGAGTCCTAGGGCTGGGCTGGTGCTCTTCTCTTTTTCTTTTCTTTCTTTTCTTTTCTTTCTTTTCTTTTCTTTTCTTTTCTTTTCTTTTCTTTTCTTTTCTTTCTTTTCTTTTCTTTTCTTTTCTTTCTTTATTTTCTCTCTTTTCTTTCTTTTTTCTTCTTTCTTTTATCTTATCCTATCTTATCTTATCTTATCTTATCTTATTTGAGAGAGAGAGCACAAGCAGGGGGAGAGGCAGAGGGAGAAGCAGGCTCCCCGCTGAGCAGGGAGTGGAGGCGGGGTTCCATCCCAGGCCCTGGGAATCACCACCTGAGGGGAAGGCAGATGCCCAACTGACTGGGCCACCCAGGTGCACCAGAGGTGGTGCTTTTCTGCTGCCTTTTCCAGAGAGAGCCCCACATGGAGGGATGGGGCAGGGGGTCGCCAGGAGGGGACAGGTTTCTGATGAGCCAGGAAGAAGTCATCACTAGACAGGTCAGGCTGCTGGTCAGGTTGCATGTCTGGTCAGGCTGCTGGGGGGCGGGGGGGGGGTGCAGCGGGAGCCGGGGGTGGGGGGGTGGGAGGCGTGTTGGCTTGAGCAGCTTGTCTCAGCCTAAGCTCTCACAGGGCTGGGTTTTCACTTTTTGCGGCCATGGCGCCACCTGCTGGCCACTGTTGGAACTGCAGGGCTCGCTAGGCAGCGCTGCAGAGCAGAGAGGTGGCTCTCTCAACCTTTCTTGTCTTACCCTAGACCTGTCCTTTTAAAGTATGAATTTAAGTCCTCGCATCCCCTCTTCCAGGGTCATTGCCTTTTGAGCCTTATTGATTAAATGGAGAGTTAAAGACTGCTTTCTGCTAAAAGGAAATTTAGGCTCTTGGTACAGGGCAGGTCTAGGGGCTGGGCAGCTTTGGCTATTAAAGTTGTCTGCATGGTCCTATCCTAGCCGGCTCCCTCCTAGGCCAAGAGAGGCCGAGCCTGGCAAGCTGTGGAAGCTGTCCTGTCTGCTTTCCTTGAGGTCTGGATCTCTTCCTTTCCCTAGTCAGCATCCCAGTGGGCTGATGAGAGTATTGGTGTGTGCATGTATGGGCATGTGTGTGTACATGTGTGTACATGTGTGGCGCTGAGGTCTAGGTATGAGGACTCTCCCATTGGGATGATGGCTTTCAGTGGAGGCTTGAATGACAGAATGAACCACATGAAGAACTTGGAAAGAGCATTCTAGGCAAATGTGGAGCTGGCAAGTGCAAAGGCCCTGGGGCACATTGAAGGATAGAAGGCAGGCCATTGGGGCTGGAGCCTAGAGAGTGAGGAACAGCTTGCTGGGTGGTAAGGCTGGAGAGGTGGATGGAGCTGGGTGGATGAGTTGGGCTATATGATTCAGTTTAAGGATTCAGGTGTTTATCCTCAGAAGAGGGGGCAGCCATGCAGGGGTAGGGGGAGTGCTAATAGGACATGATTGGAGTGTGTCTAGAAGGGATCCCTTGGGCTATGTGGGAGAATGAGGGCAAAGGACCATCGTGGGTGAAGGGAGTCTATGGGAAGGTAAGGTGGCTTGGATCAGGGTGTTAGACTCACTGGGTTGGGTGGATTACAGCCCTTGACTCAAAGTGAGCTCTGTGGACCCAGTAGTATGAGCACCACCTAGGAGCTTATAGCAATGTGGGCTCCAGCCACCCCCCAGACTTTGGAAATAGAACCTACCTTTTAACAAAATCCTTGGTTGCTCTATGAGAAGCACTACTCCATGGGGTGCTTTCCAGGGTCACACAGCAAGCAGTAGAGCAGAGTCCTGGCCCTTGGCTCAGGGCCCCTCCCAACTGCATTTCCCCTGGAAGACTGTCTGACTTCCCCAGGAGGCCCAGAAGTGAGGAGGCACAAGCTGTGGGGAAGCAGTGGATCTGCAGGAGGGTCCACCTTGAGCATATGACGCCAACAGGGCATCCTCTGCAAAGCTGCCCCGGGCCTCCCAGCCCAGTGGCCTCGCTTTGTGGGAGGAGCCTGGGGATTACCTGGTGCATCACCAGCACCAGGAGGTGGTATGATTAGCAGACATCACACCTGGGAGGCAGATGTCTTTTGGTGGCAGGAGTGCAAGCGTCTGGGGAGCTGGTGATGTAAAGCACTGTGTACTACAGCCTGCTCCCAGATGGAGGCATGGCTTCCAGGGCCTGCTTCCCCGACTCCCAAGCTCCCCAAAAGGACGGACCGAGCACAGTGAGGATTCTGTGAGGTGTGAAACACACCCATCGTTCTCTTGGCAGTCTCCTCTTCTCCTGCCGGTCCCTAACTGTTGCGGCCACCTGCAGGTGGAGATCGCTAGGGCAGAACAGCTGGGCCAGCTTCCCAGCTGTGTGTGACAGCACCCTGCGTGTTCGTGTTCGGTGTTGAGTGTGAAGGCCCCCTGGGGTAAGGGCTCCGAGGGAGGGGCTGCTGGGCAAGGAGACAGGATCCATCCTGAGGCCTGGGGGTTCTGACTTGTCTGACTTCTACCTGCTGGAGGGCAGCACTGTTGTCCCGTTCATCACCTGGTCACCACCACCAGGCAGGCCTCCATGGTTCTGGGAGGGGGCATGGATGGTGGTGATGTCACAGCCTGGTGTGGTGATTGGGAGTTTGTGTGTGTGTGTGTGACTTGGGCACAAGGCTTAAGGTCTCAGCCTGTTTTCTCACCTGTAGAATGGGGTTACTGATATGGGCTTTGAGGTTTCTTGTGGTAGATTAGATGAGAGAAGTGAGCACTGGATCAGTGGGATGCTTGCTGCTAATGTTCCCAACTATGATCACGGGCCTCAGTAGCTGTCCCGTAGGAGTGAGAGAGAAGCACTGAGTCCAGTGGAGGCACAAGTCCTGCCTGAGTGAGGTAGTCAGGGCAGGCTTCTTGGAGGAGGTCTCTCATGAGTCAGGCCTTGAAGGGGCTTGGAGGAGGTAGTGGCAGGGTCTGGCCTCGTGCAGAGGGGAACAGTGATGGGTGACCTGGGAAGGGCAAGTCAGGGTGGGGGTGGGAACTGAGGGCAGCTGGCCCCGGCAAGGCATGGTGCCATGCCTGTGCAAGACTAGACGGTGAGGTGGGTGGAGGGACAGCAGAACGGTTGGCAATAAAAGGTGGAAGCGGCTTTTCTCTGTCCAGGAAGATGCTCGGGGCTGGTCAGGGTCCACAGCCCCTCCCCGTGGTCACCTCGAGCACACGCTTCTGGGGAGGCTGTGGGTCCTGGTCTCCATGACAGACCTCCTTGCTGGCAGGATGTGCCGAACCCCTGGGCATGAAGGACAATACCATCCCTGACAAGCAGATCACAGCATCCAGCATCTACAGGACCTGGGGCCTGAATGCCTTCAGCTGGTATCCCTTCTACGCGCGGCTGGACAAGCAGGGCAAGTTCAATGCCTGGACTGCCCAGACCAATGATGCCTCGGAGTGGCTGCAGGTGGGTCTGGATGCGGGGCTGCGGGGCCCACTCAGCTGGGGTCGGTGGGATGCATGGGGCTGCTGATCTTTGGCCTCCGCCCAGCCTGGGCTTCTGTTCCCCAGGAGGGAGTGTCTCAAAAGCCTGGTTTCTTTTTTCCTCCCACATGCCCCACCTTCTTCTGATTCCCCACCCTCTGCAACTCCAGAGGGGCAGGGTGGGGGGACGCAGGGCTGCTTCCACCAAGACAGGGCCCTGAGCCCCAGGTGAAGGTGCGTGCATGTAACGGTACAGCCATCTCCACCAGCTGCCCTGGGGTGACAAGGCTTAGCCCATGGCCAGTAGGGCCGCACACCCCAGGACTTCTCTGCTGGCCTTGGTGTCTGAGACACAAGGGACAGTTCTTGGATCTCATGAAATTGGGGCAACATGACAGTCACACAAAACCAGAATGTCTGCTGATTTCATAGGTGAGGAAACAGCCCTGGCAGCGTGAGGATTTGCTTGGGCCTCACCTGCTGGTTGACAGCACGTCAGGTGTGCAAGCCTGGTGTCTGGGGACTGCCTGTCTAGGAGCAGCTGGCAGGTTCCCCAGATGCTCAGGGACTGGGGGCAGGAGGATTTTCTCTGGGCTCCAGGGGAGCCATTCACCTGTGGAGCCAGGTTCTGTGAGGAGCTGGACTCCTGCAGGATTAATGCCAGGCTGTGCAGAGCCCTGCAGGACACCTCAGGAACCCATCCACGGGCTTTCCTTTGCTTGTTCCCATTGTACCGGGGGTGGGGTGGGGGCTGGCTGTGGGTTGGCCAAGGCCCAGGCTCTGATGTCTAGCGTCACTGCAGTGAAGTGTCTAACAGAGTCTGACAAAGCAGGTGATGTGATTTATGTCCATCTTACGGATGAGGAGGTTGTGCCAGATGAAGTAGCTTTCCCAGTACTAGAAGTTGTGCCCCAGCATGTCTGCCATTTCCCATTTACTGGAGGACGGTCTCAACAAAGAAAGTGAGGTTGCTTTTTTCCTGTAGGTGGACCTGGGCTTTCAGAGGCAAGTGACTGGCATCATTACCCAGGGGGCCCGAGACTTTGGCCACATCCAGTATGTGGCAGCCTACAAGGTAGCCTACAGTAACGACAGGACGAACTGGACCGAGTACAAGGACCAGGGGGCGATCGAAGGCAAGGTGAGCGTCCGGCTGGCAGACCTCCTGTCACCCCTCCAGGGGTGCCCTTTGAGTCTGGCCCGAGGCTCTGAGGGCAGGGGTGGGGTGGGGGGCTGGCTCTGGGGCCCTCCTGACACCCCCTCTGCCTCCAGATCTTCCCTGGCAACTTGGACAATAATTCGCACAAGAAGAACATGTTTGAGATGCCCTTCCTGGCTCGTTTTGTGCGCATCCTGCCCGTAGCCTGGCACAACCGTATCACCATGCGTGTGGAACTGCTGGGCTGTTAGTGGTAGGCCTGGCTGGAGTGCCCGGAAGGGCCGTGGGGCACCTGCCCCTTACCTGGTCCTCCTAGCCTTCTGTTGGCCTGCTGTCTCCTCCACCCCACCTCCTGATTGTAGGCGACCGGGGGCAGGGGTTTCAGCCACCTCTCCTTCCCTCCTCTTTCCCCTCCCCCCCACGAGGCCCTGGCACCCACCCCTCCTGCCATCCCATTTTCTTAGGCACTGTGGGAGTTGAGGTGGTCCGGGATGGACAGAACAGGGTGAAATAGGGAGCGAGGGTTACCTGCACCTCTCCAGATCCCTGGTCCTAGTCTCCTGTGTTTCCCCTACACTCTCTGCCACATCCTACGTTCCCACGGCCCGGAAGAAGGCCCTGAGGCGCCAGGCTGGAGATAACAGTGTCTTGTCCCTTGGCAGGATGCTGCCACTCCTGCCGCTGCCACCTAGCCTCCAGCACTTCCCCCTTATCTCCCTGGAGGACCTCTCTTGACCCTTGGTCTAAAACGAGACAGGAGGCGGGGGGGGGGGGGCAGGCTATGGAGAGAGAGGGGTAGAGGTGGGTGGGCATGGGGGGCACCTTCTGTGCTAGTTTTTTACCCCAGAGTACACAGGCAGCTTCCAAAATATATTTATATCACCCCCTGAAACTCTTGCTGTGGTTTATTGGTTCATCACTTGCTCCGTCCAGATGGGCTTTGGCCTGGGCTGGCGCCCCCACCCTGGGCCCTCGGTCCTCCCAGAGGCCAGCATTCTTGTTTACCTGCCAGCTGTGGAGAGCTTAACAGCAGGAGAAGGGAGGAGACTCTGAGGAGTCCCACTTCCGAGGCCCGATCTCTTGCCCTCAGTTCTCCACTGCCACCTGCCAGACCCACACTGCCCTGGAGCCCGTAGCTCTACCAGGTGAGGGGCCCGGGGGGCACGTGACACAGAGGCTGTCTCCACGAATGCCTTTGCTGTCTTCCGGCACCAGGACAACTAGTGCTGAGGCTGTTGGTTTTCCCCTTTGGCAATTTCTCTGCATCTGGAGTGGTGGCCTTGGAGAAACTGCTAGAAACTCTGAGAACCTGGGCTGCTTGCAGACCTGTGGGAGGCTCCAGGGTGGGAAGGAAATCATCACGAGGCCTCCTGGCTGAGCACACTGGTTCCTGGGAGGCTACTGGCAGGGCTGCAGGGGGCTGTACCCCTCTGCCCTTACCACCTTACCCCCCATGCAGGGACCATCAGGAAGTAGCCAGCGGGGGAGGGTGGGGGGCAGTACAGGCCAGCATCCTGGTGATCTGGGAAGGGTTGCTGGCAAGTAGAGGAGGAACTGACTAGCTGGGAAGGGAATGTAGGAAGCCACCCTAGTATCCCAGACTGTGGGGTACCAGGTGAATTTTCTGGAACAAACTTTGGGAGCCATGCTGTGATAAACACAGGCGCCTCTGGGTAGCAGATCTGGGCCACGTGGCTGCCAAAGTGAGGGTGTGGCTTTGCTGGAACTTCATGAGGAAAATTAGTCTGGAAGTGACTCCTTCCTGAGAGCTGCCTTTGCCAGGGATTCTTAGCTGGGCAAGGACAGAATAAAAGGCCCGGGCTGTGGTCTCTGAGTGAACAGGGGATTGGGGCTCCCTACCCCTGGGGATCTTTCAGCCCACTCCTTCCTGTATCAGAGATCTCTTCCCTGGAGCTGCATGGATTATGTGTCTGGAGTCAGTTTTTCCAGGTGGTTGCTGACCTCTGCACTCACTTTTGGTAGCATTTTCCATCCACAGCCCTGTTCTGGTCTCTTCTGGGAACTAGCGGACAGTGGAGAAGCTTCTTTCCTCTATACCTGTGCCTCAGGATGGTTCCACCTCCCCAGTAACAAGCCGCGTCTCTGAGCCTTTTTGTATCAGGGGAAGCTGGGAGCCTCACTTGTACTGTCCACCAATCCCTGTTCATGGCATTGAATGTTTGCTCTGGGCCAGTCTCATCAGCTGTAGTCATGAGGTCCCCACCAGGCCCAGGAGCCCTGAGGCTACCCTGGAATGGCCTAAGCCACCCATGCCCTTCTGCTCATCTCTGTAGCCTCGGATGAGTTGGCCACAGCCTTCTGAAAGTGCCCCTCTGGAGAGCCTGGGGCCTTCACTCCTGACCCTCCTCATTCTCCTGGGCAGCCTCCCCTACTTCCACACGCATTCACCATCTCCTCCCCAAATTTGCTTTTTTTGTTCCTAACCACTGTCTGGGGAGCCAGTACTGATATTCCACCTGCCAGCGGGGTGGTGGTGGTGGTGGGTGGTGGTGGTGGTGGTGGTGGTGGAGTTTCATGCTGTCCAGAGCATGAAACTTGTGTTGCTGCGGCAAAACTGACTTTCTTCCTGCTGTGGTCCCTCCCCCTTCATGTGTGGGTGTCAGCACTGAGACCTGGTGACTCATGTCTCCCAGGAGTCTGGTCTCCTTTCCAATTCTGGTTTATAAAGAGTGGGGTCATTAGAAACTTAGGGTCCCAAGCTGGGAAACCAGATCACATCTTGGCTCTAAGTGGCCTTAGGCAATCTACCTAAATCTCTCTGGGCCTCAATTTCTTCATCTGTAAAATGGAAATAATAGGACCAGCTCCATGGCCTTGTGGAGACTAATGGAGAGGATACCTGGATGCAAAGCCTGGCTCATTAGAGGCCTCAAACATGGTCCACATCATTGTCAGAGAAGCTTGCAAGAGTTTCCTAATTGGTATTTGAGTCTATTTCTCCTCCAATCCATCTCCATGCAGAGGTCAGACAGGTCTCTGAAGCCTGGCATTCACTTTGGACACAATGTACCTTCTAGTTCACTGCAGCTCCTTGTGCTCTGACATCCTCCTGGCTCTTGTGTAACACACACACACACACACACACACACACACACACACACACACACCGTATATGCACATGCATGCACTCAGGCTTTTGAAGTGTGTCTAGGAATAGGCTCTGGACTTGACCCCGTGACCTGTGGCCTTTCTCCCTGCCAGGGTTGAAGGACCTCTTGGCTTTTCTGCTGAGGGAAACTGTCCAGCCCAGGACCCCTTTTGGCCAGGCCAGAAACAAAACACCCTGTCCAAATAGGAGTCCTGGGAGGTGGTGCCTGCTGGATGTCAGGATTGTCTTCCTACCCCTGTAGGAGCACTAGTCAGAAGCCTGGTTGCCCCTGCTGGCTGCTGGACACCCCTAACTTTGCCTTCCCTTCCCCCAAGACCGCTGTTTCAAGCCCCACCTCCTAGGGTCAGCGTCCTTGTGTCCCTATGCCCAACACTGACCTAACAGTCTGCCTGGAGATTTCATGATGACTAAAATCATGGGCAGGAGGGAGCACAGTGCCCCCCTTGCCTTATATGGAGGGTAAGCATACAGAACGCTTGCCCTTCCTGCTCCTGAAAGTGGGGGCCGGCCACAGCCCACTTGCAGAGTGCTGGAGAGGGCTCCCCTTGTTCAGTCCCACTGTTTTTGGTAAACCGGAGTGGTCTAATGGGACGGTCCCGCCTCAATAACGCGTCTCTTCCATCTCCCACTTACCCTCTTCAAGATGTGACCTGGAACTCCTGGTCTTTCCCTTTAGGGCGCCGCCAGCCTCTCTGAGGTTTGGAGGTGGTCCCCGGCCCGCCTGGAGCCGGCCCAAGGAGGCAGCAACGCCTTCCTTTGGGCTCAGCCCTTGGGAGGGAAAGGGGCGTGTGTTCCTTTAAGGGGCTGGCCCGGCGGGATCGCGGGGGTTTGTCCGCAGCCGCTTCCTTTCAGGGCATTCAAGATCCCCCGAATCCGCGCGCTTCCTCCGACCGGGGCCCTGACGGCCGAGGCTGGGAGCGCTGCAGCCGTCAAGGGCCGCCTGGGGACGGTACGTGGCTGCGGGTGGCCGGGCTCCTGGGGCGCCCCCCGCCTCCTGGGGCGGCGTCGGGGCAGGGGGAGGCGCTGGGCCCCGCGGGGCCGGGGCGGAGCTGGGGCGTGATGTCCCCGGGGGCGCGCTCCGGGCGCGAGTCCGGGGCGGGGGCGGGGGCGGGGGCGGGGGCGGGGGCGGCTGGGGGAGCAGCGCGGGCGCGCCGCGAGGGGGCACGGCCCCAGCGGAACCCGATGCCCCAGAGGCCGCCGCCGGGCGCAGCCCCGTGGCCCCGGGCCCGTCTGGTCGGGTCGGGTCGGGGTCCCGCAGCCCCCGCGCACGGTGCCGAGCACGAGTCGGGCGCGGGGTCCGCGGGAGCCCGGGACCTGCGCCTCCTGGCCTCTGCCGCCCCGCCGCTGTCCCGGGGAGAGGCAGGATGCCCGGCGCTTTCAGGCCCAGGTTCCCCGCGGTCTCTCCCTCGGCTGCGAGCGCGGAGGCGCAGAGGGAGGGCGGCGACGGCGCGCTGGGGGAAGGCGGGATCGCTCGGGGAGAAATCCGGGGTCGGTGGGCGGCCAGCGAGGAGCCCTCGCGGGCGCCGGGCCCCGCCGGCTGTGTCACCGACTCCCCGGGTGCCCCCGCAGCCTGGGACCCGGCCTGGACCGCGCCGCCCCGCGCCGCCCCGCGCCGCCCCGGCCGTGGCTCTGCTCCGTGCGGCAGGTGATGGAGAGGCGCCCTGGCTCCCCCCGAGGCCCTGCGTGGGCCAGCGGGCTGCGGGTGCTGGTGGGAAACGCCTCCGCTCCTACTTTCCGGGGGCCGCGGGTTTCAAAGGCGCCGATGAGCCCCGTCTACACTGCGGGCACCGAAGTCCAATTCCTCACCGGGAGCTGGGGCTGGTGGAGACCGGGGGGGGGGGGGGGGGGGGGGGGCGATGCTGCTCCCTGCTGGTGGATGGGGGAACTCTACCCTCCGCCTCGCAAGTGAGGAGCGCCTGGGCCCCGCCCCCCAGTTCCTCCGAATTGGGGTTCCGCTCATTCTGCGGTGGGGAGGGGGGCGGAGGCAAGGGGTGCTGGGAAAGCAAAGGATGGGCGGCCAGGGGACTTGGACTTTCTCCAGCCTCTGCCTATTTACCAAAGATACAACTTTGGTACCTCACTCACCTCCCCACCCTTGGCCTCCGTTTCACCAACTGTAAAGAGAAGGCAGTAGTGGCTGCTCTAGGCAGTGAGAGGGGACAAAGATCCACAGAAATAAGCCGAGACTGCAGGTTGTGAATTGTTAACAACTGCAGTAACGGGAGGTGCCTGGGTGGCTCAGTCAGTTTTAAGTGTCTGCTTTCCGGGAGGGTCATGATCCCAGAGTCCTGGGATCCAGCCCACATCAGGCTCCCTCCCTGCTCAGTGGGGAGCCTGCTCCCCCCTCTCCTCCTCACTTGTGCTCTCCCTCACTTTCTCTGTCTCTCTCTCTCCAGTAAATAAATAAAGTCTTTTTGAAAAAGCAATAGTAATAACCACTAATATTTTGTGAGTGCTTACCCTTCTGCCAGGCAGCATTCTAAGTGCTTTGCAGACATTCTCTCCCTTAATTTTTACAGAAATGTTTTCTGGTTGTAATTGTTGTGACTCCCATCTTACAAGATGAGGAAAGTGAAGCTCAGAGACTTGTCCACTGATAGACTGTTAGTAACTGGGGGAATCAGAGCTGAATCCTCGTGACCAGTCTCATTCGAGAACCTGAAATTTGCCAGTATGTTCTTCTGCCAGTACGTATTAGCAACTGCCATATGTTGGGGCTGGACATGATTCATCTTATATAATCCTCATCACAGCCCTAGAGTGAGTATCTAGCCTTTTTTTCCAGATGAGGACATGGAGGCACAGAGAGGTTGAGTAACTTGCCCAAGGTCACACAGCAGGGTACAGGTGTATCTTTGCCCAGGCAAGGCTCCTGCTGATATGGGGAGCCTCCCACAGCTGAGATGACTGTGTTGGACTGGATCTTGGGCCTTCCAGCTGATGGCACCTCTGTGGTAGCTCTGAGGGGCTGGAGGCCAGGGTAGCCAGGGTCAGGGAGCTGAGGTTGACCATGGC